TTCGCGCGCGCGGGGCGGCCCCTGGGGGTCCCCCGGCGAAAAGTACCCCGACCAACGCCCGGTCGCCGCCCGACCGCCGCCCGACCGCCGCCCGACCAAGTCTACTCAGAGATGGTTTTCCTTCTGGGTGCGGCCTCTCAGGCTCCCCAGAGCGCGCTCAGAGTGCCCCAAGAGGCCCCCAAGACTGCCCAAGAGGCCCCCGAGACGCCCAAAGAGCGCTCGAAGACGCCGAAGATGACCCCAAGACGGCCCAAAAGGCCCCCAAGACAGCCCAAGAGGCCTCCAAGACGCCCCAAGAGCCTTCCAAGAGGCCTCCGAAGAGAGCCCCAAGAGGCCAAAATCGTTGATTTTCATTGGTTTTTTCGATGTTTTTTGTGTTCTGGCTTTTTCGGCTTCCGGACGCTCCAAGACGGCCCAAGAGGCCCCCAAGACCGCTCCAAGACGGCCCACGAAGCTCCCAAGACGGCGCCGAAACGACCCAAGAGAGCCCTCAAGACGGCCCAAGTGCCGCCCAAGACGGACCAAGAGGCCCCAAGACGGGCCCAAGAGGGACTCAGGAGGGATACCGAGAACTCAAAAATGGAGCCCTCCGTCCCAGAAGGCGCCCAGGAGGTCCCAAAGAGGCCCCAAGAGGCCTCCAAGAGGCCCCAAGATGTCGCCAAGAGGCCCCAGGAGACTCCCAGGAGGCCCAAAAGAAGCCCCAGAAGGCTTCAAACATGTCTCCCAGGCGCCCCCGAACGGCCTCTCAACAGACCCCAAGAGGCCCCCCAAAGAAGCATCTTGACGACGACTCTATTTCGCCCCATCGAGAGACGACCCCCAGGGAACTGCTTCACCATCAAAACTCCCCACGCAACGCGTCCGAACGACACCCGCCCCCAAGAGCGCAACATGGGCAACGAACACACAGACAAAAACCAGCGATGCCATATCACGGGCCGGCGGAATGAGCGAAGCGATTCAATAATTCGTGAGAAAAGCACGAGCGAGAGCGCGATTCCTGGTGAGCGTTTCCTTATTCGGCATTTCGACATTGGGCGGAAGGGAGGGGGAAGGGGAGGGGTCTGGCTCCAGGCCTCTGCTTAGTGCGGCTGTTTGCAGCAGTGGGTCTTATGAGGGGAGACTCCGCATGCTCGAAACAGGCGCCACAAAACAGCCAAGATCCACTCCAGGGGGGGGGGAAGGGGGGGTCCGAGGGCCCGCGCCGACGATCGGCAAAACAGTGAATAAAAAACGATCACCTGAGCGTCGAGTGCGCGACGTTTGAATAAATTGCGAGGAAGTCCCACGCGAGAGCGGGATCCTGCATAAATTATGAGAAAGACCTGCGCGAGAGCGCCACTTTGGAATGAATTGTGAGGAATATCAGGCGGGAACCGCTGTTGTTGTAAACCGGGGGCCAACAACACAGTTTGGTGACACTCCACTTTCCCTTGAAAAGACAGGGTGCGAGCCCCGGGAATAGCACTTCAATTGAAAAAAGGTTACCGGAGGGGGGATCAACAATAACTATTCTTTAGAAATGACAAAACAACAACCTCAACAACAGCAATACCAAAAACAAGAAGGAGAACAACAACAACCACACAAACCAAAACAACAAAACCAACTACCACACAAAAGAAGAGTACAAAACAAACGGAAAAAAAACTGGAAATGATCATCAACAACAACAACAACAACAGCAACAACAACAACAACAACAGCAGCAACAACAACAACCACAACAACAACACAAACATACCAACAATAACGAAAACCAAAGATAACAACACCCATACCACTCATAACAACAACCAGAACAACAACAACAACAATAATCACAACAACAACAACAACCATAACAACGACAACAAAACCATACCAACACCAACAACCACAACACCAACAACAACAACAACGACGACAACAACAACAACAACAACAACAACAACAACAACCACAAAAACAGCAGCAACAGCAACAGCAACGTCAATATCAATAGCAACAAAACGGCGTCAGAGACCTGGTTAGCCTTGCCGCATTGATGACAGCTCGGTCGGCGTCGAATCGGCAAGCCGGATCGGATCGGAACGCGCGCCGGATCGGGCCGCATCGGCACGGAGCCGAGATCGAGCGGGATCGGCCGCGCAGGATACATACACAGCAGCGCCACGCAGGCCTCGGGCCGCGTCGGATCGCATCGGGCCGTCGGGAACACCGCGCTCGGGTCGGGTCGGGCTGGCCAGGATCGACATCGAGTCGGGTCGAAGCGGATCCTGCCTTGATGTTATGCTGTTCCCATCGCACTGCAGGACCACATCCCAGAAATAATTTCGAGCACCCAGAAAAGTATCGAAACAGGGTCGAGCGAGTATCGCCTACCAGGGCCCGACACGCGAAAACTCTTCGGTTTCGGTGCTTTCCTGGTGCTCGAAGTTCTCTTTCTGGTGGCCAAGGCTAGCAGGTTGGAACATCATGACCTTGATGTGGCGGATGGAGTACTCGTAGTCCGCGGGCGAGATGCGCTTGTTGAAGCCCAGCTCGAGGCGCTTCGTGCGCGCAGGCCGCGCGAGCTCCGGCAGGGCGTCCTTGGCCTGCACCGCGGTGAGCTCGAAGAGGGGCGCGGGCGGGTCGTTCTCCTTCGGGTCGGGCGGGGCCTTCACCTCTGGCGGACCCACTCTTGGGTTTACACTGGCCCTCCTCCTCCTCCTCCTCCTCCTTCTCCTCCTCCTTCTCCTCCTCCTCCTCGTGCGCAGACTCTCGCTCCGCCCTGCGTCCCTCTCTGCCTCCCCTCCTCGTCCACCTGCTCTGCCCCCGCCCGCTCCGAGAAGGGGCGCCGGCGTGGCGACATCGGGCGGAAGGGGGGTGAGGGGCGGGGGTCGGGCTCCAGACCCCTGCGCAGCATTCGCTGCAGCGGCGCCCCCGTGGAGTTCAGAGCTCCCTCCGCCGGCGCGGAGGACCCCTGCCTACGGTGGGGGGGGGCTCCACCTGCCCGAAGCAGGCGCCAAAAACGGCCGAGATCTGCTCCACGGGGCGGGGGAGGGGGGGTGCGAGGGCCCGCGCCGACCGGCACAGCAATGGATAAGAGGACGACGCCCACCAGAGCTCTCAAGCCAGCGGTGTTTCCTCGATGTCGGCCCTTGGGGGCCTACCTCGGGCCCTGGGACCATCTGAAGTGGATCCAGGGCGATGAGCGACCCCTGGAGGAGGGGTCGGGGCCCCTGGGGCCGAGGAGGGAAGAGACCACCTCGGCGGCTGTCGGGGAGGGGACGGCACGAGGGGTGCGGCCTTTTCCAAGGAGGCGGGGGCCTCAGTAGAAGGCAGAGGCCTTCATGGGAGGGCCCAGGGGCTTCCAAGAAGGCTTCTGGGAGGCCAGGAGGGCGTCCAAGAAGCCCCAGCTTCTCCTCTCTGAAGACATCCAGGCCTCTCGGAGGGCCGACCCCCCCCCCGCACGCCCCCCCACCCTTGTGCGCGCCGCCAACCTCCTCCAGCCAGGTCGGGAGCCACTGCTCGAAGCCGGTCTCGAACTTATCCTCGTCCTTATCGTCTCCGATGCCGATGGGCGTGAGCCTGTTGGCGCCGAGCTCAACCATCCGCGCCTCGTAGTCCTTGCCAGCCGAGCAGAAGTGGCGGTAAGCCTTGTCGCCCAGGGCGAAAATGGAGAAGTTCACGCCCTCCAGGCTGCCAGGCTCTGCGCGGCCGAGCTCCTGCGGCGAAGAGAGAAAGGAAACAAACTGCCACAGGGGGCAAACAAACCTGCCTCGCTTTTGACCACCCTCGCTTCCAAGAGATGCCAAGCGATGCCAAACTACGGCATGTACCGGTCAGGCCGCTTGACGAGGAGGCGTATGGTATGACTTGGTTTTGCCTGGAAGCGAAAGCGGGGTACGGCAGGTTCGTGTCGTGCCGACCCTGGCGTTGGTTTTTGACACCGCGCTGGATCGTTCAACCTTGAACGATCGGCCGCTGCCGCAACGTCCGATCGTTCAACATCGACCGATTCTGGGCCGCCGGCGGCGTTCAACGTTGAACGCCGCTGGCGGGGTCGCCGCTGGTCGACACGACGCAAACCTACCGTAGGTAACTCACGCTCTGATCTGCCAGCAGAAACGCTCGTCGGAGGTCCGCGCGGACTCCTCGGGTCCACGCCGGGCCTCCCCCACCAAAAACTCCCGGCGGCGAGGTCCGGCGCCGACCCGAGAAGTCCGAGCGGGCCTCCCGGGGCTCATGGTCTGTACCGTCGCTGTGCCCTCCTCCTCCTCCTCCTCCTCCTCCTCCTCCTCCTCCTCCTGAGGAGGAGAAGGACGGGGAGGACTCCTCGAAGAGGGTCAGCGCGTTCTGAGGGATCTGCCCCTCGCCGCAGGTGGCGATCAGGATCACGACGTCCTTCCTCTGCCCGAGGTCCTCGACCGAGAGGTCGTTGAGCTCGGCCAGCTCCACGCTGTAGCCTCGGGAAGTGGGGGGGACAGCCTGACCTCGACCTGCTGTGGTAAGCGACCAGTCCGTGCGCGTTGCCAACTTGTTTCAGCTCGATTGGGCACACGGAAGCTGATTGATTCCATGCGCACTGGTCGCTTGTTGTGTTCGAGACATACCACTACAAATGTCTGATGCGCGTCTCAACATCTGCGCGCCCAAACCTGAGGTTATCTGAGCGTGTCGGCCTCTGAACGATGTGCAGCCAAAGAAGCGCCCACGTGTGTGTGTGTGTGTCTGATCACCGGGGGCCCAAAGGCTGCTGCCTGAGCGCACCTATCACACGGATTCGTGCGGTTAGTGTCCACGTCCCCTATTTTATGTGCATATTTATACCTATACGACCACCCTGCGGGTGATAAGGAGGTGCGGGGGGAGGGGGAACCAACGTCTCACTCAATCGATCTCGCTATCGATCTCACAATCGATCTCACATTCGATCTCACTATCGATATCACTATCGATCTCGCTATCGATCTCACTCAATCGATCTCACAATCGATCTCACAATCGATCTCACATTCGGTCTCACATTCGGTCTCACTGTCGATCTCACTATCGATCTCACAATCGATCTCACAGTCGATCTCACATTCGATCTCACATTCGGTCTCACTATCGATGTCACTATCGATCTCACAATCGATCTCACAATCGATCTCACATTCGGTTTCACATTCGGTCTTACTATCGATCTCACTATCGATCTCATTATCGATTTTCACTCGGCAATTTTCAATCGGCACCATCATCATCATCATCATCATCATCATCATCATCATCATCATCATCATCATCATCATAATCATCATTACCATCATCATCTCACACTCAATCTGACTATCGATCTCACAATCGATCTCACTATCGATCTCACAATCGATCTCACATTCGGTCTCACTATCGATGTCACAATCGATCTCACAATCGACGTCATCATCATCATCATCAACAACAAAAACATCAACATCATCATCATCATCACCATCATCATCGTCACCATCATCATCATCATCATCATCATCATCATCATCATCATCATCATCATCATCATCATAATCATCCACATCATCATCGGGACACCGACGGGACACCGACGGGACACCAGCGGGACACCGGCTGGACACCGCGCGCCACCGGCCGCTCTGAAGAGACACATTTGGTCCGGCCGCGCCTCAGCCACAGGGACACCGACGGGACACCAGCGGGACACCAGCGGGACACCGCGCGCCACCGGCCGCCCGGAAGAGACACATTTGGTCCGGCCGCGCCTCAGCCACAGGGACACCGACGGGACACCAGCGGGACACCGGCGGGACACCGCGCGCCACCGGCCGCCCGGAAGAGACACATTTGGTCCGGCCGCGCCTCAGCCACAGGAGACTTTCCTCTCGCCCGCCCACGCAGCTTCGCCTCGCCCGCGCGCACGGCACGCACGAACACGAAACCGAAATCGATTTCCCGGTAGGGGGGCTCTCCCTTCCACTTCGATCTCACCCCCTCACCTCCGATAGAGAGAGACCCCCCGGCCACGTCCCCCAGTGTATATATATATATATATATATATATATATATATATATACACACGATACATAGATACATATATGCATGAGAAGATAAAATTCAGCCAGCCCATGATGTAGATGATGCAACGAATACATTACTCCAATCTCCTTCTTCACCTTCGGGGACGGAGTCATCTCTGCTTCATTCAAAACCCCCTCCCTTTCCCGACTGGCGGCAAACCCGAAACCATGCCCGCACGCCATCGCCATTCCCTGTCACAGGAAAATACAACGTACGCTTGACGACAAAATCTTGGACCGTGCGATGGTGACCCGCGATCACTTTTTGATGTTGTTTTCGCAGGGATGATGGTGTGTAGGGGGCCTCAGATTGTCTGGTGTGCGCGGGCGCACCCTCACTGCCGAAAACACAAGTAAAGTGATTGCGGGTGCACACACAGTACACCACGACGGAGCCCCGCCGCTGACTGTGCATGAATTTGTGTCAGGGACGGTCGGGGGGCGACACGTTCCACGATGTGTGCTAGCACACGACATACTTGGCGCACGTGGAACCCGTGGCGCAGCTAGCGCACCGAGGCTCCTCCGCCCCGCCGACGAGGAGGGGAGGGGGCCAAGGAGCGCCCGCACCTCTTGTGGCGGACGCACGGGTTCTGGTCCGCCCCCATTGTTTGTTTCACCTCTGCCTGCCCTGCACGCCTCCCTCTCGTCCTTCGCCCCCCTGCTCCGCCACCGTGCCGCGAGGCACCGAGCGGAGTGCCGCTGCATGAAGAGAGGTGGGGCGTCCTGGCGGCCTTGCCCCTGATCACAAACATTGACATCGGCTGAAGCGTCACAGACCCGAAGGCTGGGACAAGCTCGGGACGCCGACGCCTGGGGAACAGGCCGTGGATAGCGTGTCGCGTCGCAGCGTGGTAGGCCAGAACCGGCAGAGCGACAGACCAAAGCCAAAATTCCCGACTGTGACCTCCCAGGAGCCGCAAGCAAGACCCAGAAAGACGCTGCCTCGATTATTGCAGCAAGGGGTCCCTGGAGTTCCCGACCCTTCCCCATGGAAGTCGCGGCCAAAGAGCCACGTGCCCAGGAATTCAGAAGCCGTAGAGGCTCAAGAAGCCGAGTGGCGTGCCCTCAGGTCCCTTAGAGCCCTCCGTTCTCAAATCCAGGGGGTCAGTTCAGCGGCCCACAGCCTGGAGTTCCAGGCGAGAGCAAGCGCTCTCGACGCTTCTCGGCGCTTTTTGTCGGCGCGCCTGGGCCTTCCCGCATGACTTTTGTTCGCATCCACGGGGGGCTCCAAGAAGAGCCAAGGGGGCCCCAAGAGGCTCCCACGACGGTCCAAGAGGGCCCCGAGTCGCTCATAGATCGCTGGAAGCCGCCCAATGGCCGCAAGACGGACCAACAGGCCCCCAAGACGCTAATGGAGGGCCCCACGAAGCCCCCTAAGAGAGCCCCAAGTGACAAAAATCGCCCCAATCCCTCAGGGAAACTAACATGCTTAGCATAGTTGCCTTTTCGGCCTTCACCGCGTCCAAGACGGCCCAACAGGCCCCAAAAATCGCTCCAAGGCGGCCCAAGAGGATCCCAAGACGGAGCAAAGAGGCCCCACGACGGCCCAAGAGGCGCCCGAGAAGGCCGTAAAGGGTCCCAAGAAAACTCCACGAGGGGAAACTTAAGCCGAGAGTTCGAGACCTCCGCCCCCAGGGTCCCCCGAAACCGCCAGCAGGCCCCCAAAAGCCCCAAAGATGCTCCAAGAGGAACCTAGGACCCAAGAGAAGCCCCAAGAGGCACCCAAACGGCCACCAAGAGGCCTCAAAGCTACCTTCAATAGGCTACCCAGAAGCTTCCCAACAGACGCCAACAAGCATCCAACAGGCCACTGACCCACCTCCTCCTCCTCATCATCTCCTCCTCTCCTCTCCTCCTCCTCCTCCCCCTCCTCCTCCTTTCCTCCCCTCCCCCTCCTCCCCCTCCCCCCTCCTCCCCCTCCTCCTCCCTCCTCCTCCTCCTCCCTCCTCCCCCTCCCCCTCCCCCTCCTCCTCCTCCTTCCGCCTCTCCTCCTCCGCCCTCCTCCTCCTCCTCCGCCTCCTCCTCCCCTCCTCCTCCTCCTCCTCTTCTTCTTCTTCTTCTTCTTCTTCTTCTTCTTCTTCTTCTTCTTCTTATTATTCTTCTTCTTCTTCTTTTCTCTTCTTCTTTTTCTTGCTTCTTCTTCTTCTTCTCCTCTTCCTCCTCCTCCTCCTCCTCCTCCTCCTCCTCCTCCTCCTCCTCCTCCTCCTCCTCCTCCTCCTCCTCCTCCTCCTCCTCCTCCTCCTCCTCCTCCTCCTCCTCCTCCTCCTCCTCCCTCCTCCTCCTCCATCCTCCTCCTCCTCCTCCTCCTCCTCCTCCTCCTCCTCCTCCTCCTCCTCCTCCTCCTCCTCCTCCTCCTCCCTCCTCCTCCTTCCTCCTCCTCCTCCCTCCTCCTCCTCCTCCTCCTCCTCCTCCTCCTCCTCCTCCTCCTCCTCCTCCTCCTCCTCCTCCTCCTCCTCCTCCTCCTCCTCCTCCTCCTCTCCTCCTCCTCCTCCTCCTCCTCCTCCTCCTCCTCCTCCTCCTCCTCCTCCTCCTCCTCCTCCTCCTCTCTCTCCCTCCTCCTCCTCCTCCCTCCTCCTCCTCCTCCTCCTCCTCCTCCTCCTCCTCCTCCTCTCCTCCTCCTCCTCTTCCTCCTTTTTCTCTTCCTCATCCTCCTTCCCCTCCTCCTGTTTTTCCTCCTCCTCCTCCTCCTGTCCTCCTCCTTTTCCTCCTCCTCCTTTTCCTCCTCTTCCGGCTTGGCCTCAGCGACCAACGGTGATGGTGATGGCGATGGCGATGGCGACGGGCGGGACATTAATACAACCTGCAATCAGTCATGGGGATGGGGCGAAAATATATCTCAACCACCAGGGACGCCGTTCGGGCGGGCGGGGCGGTAAATATACGATTCACTCAGTGACGGAGCGTTCAGTCGGGCGGGCGGGCGGAACATTAAATGCAACCTCACTAAGCGATGGGACAAAATGGGGGGACATCGATCACAACCACCAAGGGACGCCGTACGGGGGAACGGTACATCCGCCGATCCGGCGTGTGAGTTTCAAAGACCGTCAGAACAGCATGAGCCTCAATTCCTGACTTTCAGCTCTACTGGGGGGTGGGTGCCGGGGTGGCTCTGGGGGGGATTGATTTGATTCCCTGGGCGGAATCGGCGCTCCAGCTCACTCCGAGACGGCCCCCTCGCCCACGAAGGCCCCAATATGGGCCAAGAGGGCCCCGAGTCGCCGAAAGATCGCTACAACACACACACACACACATACACACACACACACACACACACACACACACACACACACACACATACACACACACACACACACACACACACACACACACACACACACACACACACACACACACACACACACACACAAAATGTCCACATGACGGCTCCAGAAGCCTCCAAGATGCCCTCAGAAGCCCTGAAAATGCCTCCCAAAGAACGCCCAAAGAAGCAAAAGGTGCCCCATTCCTGAGGGGAAACGTACAAATCTAGCATGCGCGCCCCTTGGGCCTTCAGAGCGTCGCGGGCGCCCCAATAGAGCGCCAAAAAGGCCCGAGAAGCCGCCACGAGGGCCCCAAGACGGACCAAGAAAGGCCCGAGATGGCGCCCAAGAGGCGCCTGAGAGGGCGCCAAGATGGCAGAAGGAGTGCCGCAGACGGCCCAAGAAGCCCCTAGCATGCCCCCGAAGCCCCCAAGAGGCCTGAAGCGGCCCCAAGACGCTTCCAACTGAACCCGAAGAGGCCCCCTGAGCTCCCTTACGCCACCCTAGACTTTCCAAAAATTAATCAAAGACGCCTCCTACACACCTCCGAGCTGCCTCCAAGACCCCCCCCCAGAAGCCCAGAACCGGCCCCCATGTTTCCACGACGCTTACGTCTGAACACATGCGTCGCAATAAAAAAACGTTATTCCATGCTTTTACACATTCCCCCGTCTTCGGTGTCCTTCACATCCATGATCACACAAGGACCCGCAGAAGACCGCGCCAAAACCCCAGGGACCCCCAAAACACCACGGTTCCCAGCAGAGACCGGTGATGCTCAAGGCTCAACACAGAACTGTGACGCAAACAGCTCTAGCACAAAGTTTTTCAGAGAGCACGCCAAATCGGCGAGATGCCAATTCAAAGAGGGCCAACACCTGGCCCCAAAGAGGCTTTCCAACAACCGCCAAGCATCTCCAACAACCGCCGAAAATTTCCCAATCCTCGTCATGCTCCTCCTTCTCCCCCTCCCATATCCCACTTCCCGCTTCCTCCAGCTCCTCCTCATTCTCAGCATCCTGCTACTCCTGCCCTTATCCCCTCCACCGCCCTCCACCGCACCATGATCCTCCTCCTCCTCCTCATCCTACTCCGTTGCCTCCATTCCCAATCCTCATCATCATCCTCACCGCTCGCCGTCGTCGCCGGTCATGACCGCCATCGTGCGCTTCCGGCAGCAACGGAAGCGTCCCGGATCGGCGGCACTAGCCGGAGGCCACTACAATATAAGATTCAATCAGTAGTGATGGAGCGTTCAGTCGGGCGGGCGGGCGGGACATGAAATGCAACCCTCACTCAGTGGTGGGACAAGATGAGGGGAAAATATATCACAACCACCAGGGACGCCGTTCGCGCGAGCGGGACGTCAAATATTCGATTCACTCAGTGTTGGAGCGTTCAGTCGGGCCAGCGGGCGGGACATTAAATGCAACCTTAACTATGTGATGGCGCGTCGTCATCATCCACCACCATGATCACTACCACCATCACCACCACCAGCACCATCATCAGCATCATCAGCATCATCATCAGCAGCAGCATCAGCAGCATCATGATCATTGCCATATTCAGCATCAGCATCATCATCGTCATCATCATCATCCTCATCATCATCATCCTCATCATCATCATCATCATCATCATCATCATCATCATCATCATCATCATCATCATCATCATCATCATCATCATCATCGTCGTCGTCGTCGTCGTCGTCGTCGTCGTCGTCGTCGTCGTCGTCGTCGTCGTCGTCGTCGTCGTCGTCGTCGTCGTCGTCGTCGTCGTCGTCGTCGTCGTCGTCGTCGTCGTCGTCGTCGTCGTCGTCGTCGTCGTCGTCGTCGTCGTCGTCGTCGTCGTCGTCGTCGTCGTCGTCGTCGTCGTCGTCGACCGCCGCCGCCGCAGGGGGGGAGGGGGCCCCTCCGGGTCGAACCCCCGTTCCCCCCTTGGGCAGAGGGGGCCCCCCCCCAGCGTTCGAACCCCCCCCCCCCCTGGGCAGCGAGCGGGGCCCCTCCCGCTTCGAGTCCCCATCCCCCCCTGCAACTCATGGGGGGCACCCCCCCCAATTCGAACACACCCCCCCTTGAGGGGCAGGGCCCCCCAACCCCCCTGTTCGGCCCGCCCCCATTCCGTCTCAGGGGGGGCCACCCCCGGGCTCGAACCCCCCCCCTCCCCAGCGTCCGCAGAACGCGCTCTTTCATATCTCTCCTGGTGGCCAGCAGTGCTGAGAAGCGCTCTGGACACGGCCCCCAAAGGCTCCACCACCACCGCCACAACCCTCAGGGCGAGTCGCAATCCGCCACTTCCCTCCTCCTCCTCCTCCTCCTCCTCCTCCTCCTCCCTCCTCCTCCTCCTCCTCATCATCATCATCATCATCATCATCATCATCATCATCATCATCATCATCATCATCATCATCATCATCATCATCATCATCATCATCATCATCATCATCATCATCATCATCATCCTCTTCCTCGCTCGATTCACTCCTGCGCTGCATGCTGCTGAAATTCAAGTCGCGTGGAGATCGTTCCTGGATGGGCTAGCGGGGATGCGCAGAGTATCCACCATGAGTAGTTCATGGTTACTTCACCTCGCGGCCCTGGCAGCGGCCCCCGGCAGAGGAGGTCTGGGTGTGCGTGTGTGTGCCCCGCTGGGCTCCTCGTCTCTTCCCCCGTGCACCGCGGCTTAATTCGCGTTCTGCGTGTCCCACTAATGATACATTGCCAGAGCAGTCACTCTGCATAGCCACCGACGCAAAGAAGTGTGTGTTTGTGTGTATGCAGTGTGCGCGCCGAGCCTGAGCTCGACAGAACAGAAGGGGTGCGCACGCGCCGCCGCACGGCCTCGCGAGCCGCACATGCCCGCGAAGCGCGAGGCCAGCTCCGCCGTGTTGCCCGTCTCGCTGCCGTACAGGATCCGCCACCGTGCCTCGAGCACGCGGTGGAGCGCCCCAGTGTCGGGCGCGGCTAGAAGTAGTCCTCCTCCTCCTCCTCCTCCTCCTCCTCCTCCTCGTCCTTGGCCCAAGGTGTCCGCTGCTATTCGCGCAGTGTTGGAGGCCCCGTGAGGAGTGCTCTGGAGGTCATCTGGGCCTCCCCGGAAAGCCTATGGATTCCCAGGGGATGGAGACACCTCTTACGACCCCCCACCGTGCCCGTCCAGCTGTGCAGGGCTGGACCTCGACGGTGCTGTTCGTTTCGCTTTCCGATCTGCTTTTCGAGTCGCCCTGCCTGTTCTCCTGGGCCTCTTCGCCAAAACGGCAACCCAAAACGAAGCCCGAAACCCAACGTTTAGGTCTGGCCCTGCAGCTGTGGGCGGCAGGGAGGGGGGAAGGGGCCGCAAGCCCCCGGATGGGGGACCCGGACCCCCGAAGCGGCCAGCACTCCAGGGCGCGCCCCGGGCGTGCACTCGCGGGAGCCTCCCAGAGGCCAGGCGCGCAGAAGGACCTCGCAAGTGCCCAGGACCTGCCGCCTCGCCCCCCCGACGACGACCCCGCCGCCCCCCCCCACTGGGACCCCTGAGGCTGCCAGCACTCCAGGGCGGGCCTGGGGCGTGCCGCGTGAGCCTTGAAGAGACCAAGCGCGCAGAAGGACCTCAGTGCCCAGGACCTTGCGCACCGCCCCCCCACCCGACGACCTCCTCATCCTCCTCCTCCTCCTCCTCCTCCTCCTCCTCCTCCCCCTTCTCCTCCTCCTCCTCCTCCTCCTCCTCCTCCTCCTCCTCCGCATGTCTCCCGGAGGCCTCTTGGAGGTCCCCCTGGCACGGCGGGGTGGGCCGGAGGCCACTGGATGGACAGCGCTGGACCGCGAGCTGCGTCCTCGCTGGACGACATGGCCAGGTAATTTTTGTGCCTCCGGCGGATGCTCGTGCGCATCTCGTCGATCAGGCGCTTGTAGGACTCCGGGTTCGAGCGGCGCAGCGCGTTGAAGCGGTTCTCGGTCTGCAGGTAGGAGCTCAGGTCCTCGCGGAGGGTCTTCTGGTCCAGCTGCATCGGCACCTCGAGGGGGAGGGGGGGCGGAGGAGAAGGAGAAGGAGGAGAAGGAGGAGGAGGGGGAGGAGGGAGAGGAGGAGAAGGAGGAGGAGGAGGAGGAGGAGGAGGAGGGGGAGGGGGGGCGAGGGGCAGCGCCAGCGGGGGCCGGCTCGGGGGGGCGGCGCCCGATGGCTCGGGCGAGGCCGCGTGCTCCTGGGCGGGGCCGCGCGGCCAGGCCCCCATCGGCGATGGAGGGGCGAATTTGCGGTGAAAGGGGCCCTGGGGCACACAAATAAATACACACAAATAAAAAAAAGGATTCCCCATACTTTCCCACATGTTCTGGGTTTTGTTTGTCTTCCCCCCCACCTCCCATATTTCCCCATCTTTTCCGGGGAACCGCCGATGAATCGTGTCTGTGTGTTTCTTTCCCTCTTTGAGCGGTCGACGCATGCCCCCTTTGAGCCGTTCCCCCCCGGACGCTGCCTCCGATCGGCGCCGGGCGAGGGCGGGAGGCGAGCAGCGGCGGGCCTGTTCCGAAGGCTCGGAGGTGCCCCGGCCTCCTGAGAAGTTCTGAAGCCTCCCCCGAAGACAGAAGAAAGCACGCCATAAACATACACTTTTGGCGCGCCGCGCGGATTTCTTGGATCCGCGCTGGACCCCCCTCCCTGGCGCGCGGAGCGCGCCAGGGGCGGCGCCAGAGGCGCCGAGCGAGGATCCAAGAAATCCGCGCGGAGCGCCAAAAGTTTTTATGTTTATGGTGTCTTCTCTTCTTCGAGGAGACACCAAAAAAAAACTGTTCTGAATGCCCGAGGCCTTCTGGGAAGTCCCGCGGCTGTCTGGGCCTTTTCCTTATCACTTCTCATTGCGCCGACCTTGCAGACGTGCTGCAGCGGATTTTCGCGTGGATTGTCAATGCAGCAGAACCCCGAAACGGCGAGCGAAGAACGAAGTGAATTTCACGTGGATGTTTTGTCGTCCTCCTTCCCAGCCGACAAAAAAAGTCCGCACGAAATTCACATCGAAATCCAGAGCATCACTCTCTGGCCCATCTCACTGTTTTCCGAACGAAATTCGCTCCGCGATGTTGGCGCCAGGACACTTCTCTGGGAGGCCTGGACATGGGCACCAACACCAAGACAGAGAGCTGCCTCCACAGGGGGGAGGTGGTCCTAGATTTCGGTGTTGGTGGTAATATTTCGGCCACCTTGGAAGCCAGAATATTACCATCATCACCAAGATCGGGATCTTCTTCCCTCGGTGGAGGAACACCGCCGATCTGTGTCAACCTCTAGGCCTGCGATTCTCTCCCTGTGGGCGCGCCGCCGATCTGAGACCCAAACTCTCCGCCGGCGCGGTGAGTGCCGCGCGAGGCTCCCCGAGCGAGGCTCCCAGCGAGGCTCCTCTGCGAGGGCCCTCAGATTCCGCGACGGGTCACGGGCGACCTTGACTTCAGTGAATAGATGAAGACACACGCACATACATGCATGCATACATGCATACATGCATGCATGCATGCATGCATGCATGCATACATGCAAGCATGCATGCACGCACGCACGCACGCACGCATGCACGCATGCCTGTGTACATGCACGCACACATATATATATATATATATATATAAAAACATACATACATACATACATACATACATACATACATACATACATACATACATACATGCATACATACATATATACATACATGCATGCATACATACATACATACATACATGCATGCATGCATGCATGCATGCATACATACATACAAACAAACATGCATACATACATACATACATGCATGCATACATACATACATACAGACAGACAGACAGACAGACAGACAGACAGACAGACAGACAGACAGACAGACAGACATGCATAGATGCACACATACATATATGCATACATCCAGACAAACATACGTACATGTTCATATCAATACACATGCATGAAAATATACGAGAGAGCGTGATCCACCGCCGCTTTACTGTGGAAAATTGCCAACCTTTTCCTCCGGAACCCAGGGGTCTCCCCCCCCCCCCTCCGAAAATCCCCCCCCCTGCTGGAACCCCCCCCCCCCCCCCCTCTCTCCAGGCAAACCCCCCCTCCCCTAACCCCTCCCCCCCCCCCCCCCCTCCCCCCTCGAAAACCGGGGGGGTCACTACCGGTTTCGAACCCCTCCCCCCCCCCCCCCCCCCTCCGGATCCCGAAAACCGGGGGGGTCACTACCGGTTGGAACACCCCCCCCCCCCCCCCCCCCCCCCCTCGAAAACCGGAAGGGGGTCACTACCGGTTCGACCCCCCCCCCCACGCACCGCCAGCAAACGACTCCCGGTCCCTACCACCGCTCGCATGACATCCCCCACTGTTGTTCCCAGCACCACTGTCCTCACCACCACTGCCCCCGCTGGTTCCACCACCGTCCCTATTGTCCCCACCAGTGCCCCCACCACTGTCGCACTGTCCCCACTGTTCCCACAACTGTTCCCACCACGGTTCCACTCTCCCCACTGTCTCCACGGACCCAACCACTGCCTATCCCCACTGTCCCCACTGTCCCATTGACTCCTCCGCTGTCCCACTGAGCTGTCCCACTGTTCCCACCACTGTCCCCACTGTCCCCCCACTGTCCCCACTGTACCTCTGTCCCATTGTTCCACCGCCTTCCTCGCCGACGCCTTTACCAGTGTCCCCACCACCATTGTACCCTCCACTGTCCCAGTGTTTCCACCTCATTCCCACTGTCCCCACACCACTGTCCCCACCACCACCGTTCCCACCACTGTCCACTGTCCCCCCTGTTCCCACCATTGTCCCCACCACTGTCCCCACCACTACCGTCCCCACCGCTGTCCCACTGTCCCCCCACTGTCCCCACCACTGTCCCGCTGTCCCCTCACCACTGTCCCCACCAACACCGTCCCCACCACTGTCCGCACCCCCACTCGGTTTTCGAGGGGGGGGGGGGTTCGAACCGGTAGTGACCCCCCCCCCCTTTTCATGATGAGCTGGGGGGGGGGGAGGGGTTCGAACCGGTAGTGACCCCCCCCGGTTTTCCGGAGGGGGGGGGGGGAGGGGTTCGAACCGGTAGTGACCCCCCCCCGGTTTTCCGCCAGCAGCGGTAGAACACGCTCTTTCAAATATACATACATGCATACACACATGCATACGTGCATGCATGCATGCACGCACGCATGCACGCATGCCTACGTACATGCACGCACATCGATACGTACATACGTACATACGCGCATATGAACATGCATGCAGGCATACACACATGCATGTATTACATACATCCATACATTCATGCAGGCATGCATACATGCATACGTACGTACGTACATACGTGCATACGTGCATACACACATACATACATGCATAGACACATACGTACATGCATACATACATACGTGCGTGCAGTCATGCATGCATGCATGCATGCATACATACATATAGACATACATAACTGCATACATGCATGCACAAATACATACATACATGCATGCATACAGAGTTGCGTACGTACACACGTACAGGTACACACACACACGCAAACATGCATACCATACATGCATAAATGCATACGTACATACATGCATGCATGCATGCATGCATGCGTACGTACATACGTACATAGATGCATACGTACATACGTACATACGTACGTACACACGTAAGTGATTACATATACACATGCATACATACATACGTGCGTACAAGCATGCATGCATACAGACGTTCATACGTGCATATACACATACATGCAAACATACGTAAATGCATAAAATACATACATACATGTATGCACGCATGCATATAAACATGCATGCACGCACGCATGCATGCATCCATCCATCCCTGCATTGATCCATACATACATACATAGATACATGCATGCATGCATGCATGCATACATACATGCACACATACATACGTGCGCGCATGCATGAATCCATACATACATGCATGCATACATGTATATATATATATATGTATGTATGCACACATACGTACAGACGTGCATACATACATACTTACGTACATACGCGCATATACACGCATGGAAACATACATGCACGCATACGTACATACGTACTTGCATGCTTGCATGCATACATGGACACACACCCACATGCATACATGCATAAATGCAAGCATACATACATGCATACATGCATACAGGCATACAGACATACAGACATACATGTATACATGCATGCATTCGTACATGCATACGTAAACACACGCATGCATACATTCGTACATGTACATGTGTGTATGAAAATTCGTATACATTCACATGCACACATACATATACATATACAGGTGCATATGCATATACGTGTATATATATATATATATATCATACATATACACTACATGTAACCAAACGTATACGTATACATATATGCATACGCATAGACATATACATGTATACACTCATATAAATGTACATACGCATAGACATAAAGAGACACCTATACCGGTATACATCGTATACATATGCATATACATATGCACATATATATATGTAAGTACATACATACATACATTACGTCACATCACATCACATCACATCACATCACATTAAATTACATTACATTACATTACATGGCATGACACTGCATTACATTACATTACATCACATTACATTACATTACATTACACTACATTCATTCATACATACATACATACATACACACACATACATACATACAGACAGACAGACATACATACATACATGCATGCATACATACATACATACATATATACATACACACACATACCTACGTACATACATACATACATACATACATACATACATACATACATACATACATAAATATAGACATACATATATACATACATACATACATACATACATACATACATACATGCATGCATGCATGCATGCATGCATGCATGCATGCATGCATACATACATACATACATACATACATACATACATGTATGTATAATGGGGGAAGGGGGCTGGAGGAGGCGGGAGGAGCGGGGGGAAGGAAGGCACCGGAGGGAGCGGAAAGCCAGATCGGGTGAGCTGGCCCGAGTGCGGCCCAAAGTGCACCACAGCCGATGCCGAGGCCGAAGCTGGAGTGAACAGAGGGAAGGGCACACCCTGCAGGCTCGGCCAACAGCACAATCGGTGAGGCAGGAGGCAGCCAGAGGCGGGAGGAGGAGTTGAGGGGAAGCAGCCAGGCCTGCGCTGGGTCGCATCGCGGAATCGGATCGGATCGAGAGCGGATCGAATCGCCAACGATTCGTCCCAAATCAGATCGGCATCGAATCGCCGCGCCCCGCTTCCGGCTGGCCCTAGCCGATGCCGGTGAATGGAGCCGGATTGCATCGAATTGGAATCGCAGCCCCAGCCGGCGAATCGAATCGCATCGAATCGGATCGTAGGCGGCCCCGGCAGCCGCATCGGCACCTCCAACCGAGGGTCGTAGCGGAACAGTGGCCAGTACCCGCTCGACACGGCGAGCTTCTGGCAGTTGATCATCTCGCCGAGGCCGTCCTGGTGAGCAATCTTGAACTCGATGCACGGGGAGTAGGCGAGGGTCAGGGAGGGGCCGTTGTACTCCTCCGCCTCAGCGATTGCCTTCACCGTCTGCGTCATGTTGGCGCCCATTGAAATCGATGATACATACACGTTGCCGTATGACATACAGATCTCGCCCAGGTTCTTCTTCGCGCGCTCCTTGCCGCCCATGGCAAATTTAGCGATGGCGCCTTGAGGCGTCGATTTGCTGCGCTGGCCACCCGTGTTGCTGTAGGCCTCGGTGTCGAGGACGAGGATATTCACATTCGCCCCACTGGCAACGACGTGATCCAGGCCGCCGAAGCCGATGTCGTAGGCCCACCCGTCCCCACCGATGATCCACTGCGAAGTCTTGACGAACAAGTCCTTGTTGTCGTAAACCTGGGAGAAGGCGAAGCCTTTGGCGCCCTGTTCCTTCGCTTTCTCCAGCAGCGGCGGCAGCACGTTCTGCATATGAGTACTGGTGGAGGCCTGCTGCCAGCCGTCGTACCACTGCTTCAGGCGCCCACGGAGCTCTGGCAGGACATCAGCCTGATCGGTCTTCAGCAGCTCCGCCACGTACTCGTGCATGCGCTGACGACGAGACAGCTGGTTCTGTGAGATTCCGAAGCCGAATTCGGCGTTGTCCTCGAAGAGAGAGTTGTGCCACGCCGGGCCCTTTCCGTCAGAGTCTCTCTTGGTGTAGGGCGTGCTGCCGTAGGGGTTGCCCCAGATAGAGGAGCAGCCCGTGGCGTTGGCGATGACCATGCGGTCGCCAAACATCTGCGTAAGCAGCTTGACGTAGGGCGTCTCGCCGCAGCCAGCGCAAGCTGCCGAGTATTCGAGCAAGGGCTGCTGCATCTGCGACCCCTTGACGGAGTTCACTTTCATCAGGTCCTCACGCACCGGAAGCGCCCGAAGGAAGTCCCAGTTCTCCTTGTGACCGAGTTGAACTGCCTCCTCCTTGGAACCGATAAGACAAGCACAGAGATCCCCATTCCTTCCCCTAAACGTCTGAATACAAGCGAGTCTGCGTGAGTGACGCGGAGCATGCGTGACCGAGTGTCTGAATGTGAGCGAGCTGGGGTGTGAGCGAAGCGGAACATGATTGACAGAGCGCGATAGAATACTAATGCGAGTGAGCCTGAATTCGAGTGAATGAATATGCATGGGCCTGCGTACGAGCTGGCCTGGGTATGACTTGGTCTGATTACGATATAGTTGGAATAAATAAAGTGGGCATCCTGGGGCCTCATTTGGCCTCCTGGAACCTCCAGGGGGGTCCTGAAATCTCCTGGGGCGTCCTCGGGGGACCTGGAACCTGTACGGACCTCACTGAGCTCGATGAAGCCTCATGAGAATTGCTTCGGTATACCGAGACTTCCTGAAACACCCTGGGGCTTCCTGGCGTTTCCCTCGGCCTCCTTCGACCTACGGGGACCTCATGGAGCTTCCTGGGGTGGTCCTGAGATGGACCACATGGAGCCTCCTGGAATATCCTGGTACTCCCTGGGGTCCCCGGGAACTTCCAGAGGCTTCCAGAAACCTCCTGTCGCCTCTTCAGAACAAGAGCGAAGGAAGAAAAGAAAGAGGAGGAGGAGGAGGAGGAGGAGGAGGAGGAGGAGGAGGAGAGAGGGGGAGGAAAAAAATGGAGGAGAAAGTCGGGATGGAGGAGGAGGAGGAGGAGGATGAGGAGGAGGGGGATTTGTTTTACATCCACGCGTCTGCCAAGTGGCGCTCGCGGTTTGTTTCATCCGCTGCCACTTTCGCCACCAGCGTGCCCCCCCCGCTGACATCGCGGCAACTGCGGGGGGACTCACGCCGAGACGGGAAACGGAAGAGAGCGGGGGACGGGAAAAGGAAGACGGCTGCCAGTCCCGCAGTGCCGCGGAAACAGCGGGTACCGAGGTGATCCGCGTGGGACGTACCTCCGCTGGGCCTCCCAGCAGCCCACGAAAGTGGCGACAATTGCGCAGATCACAAGCCCCACAAGGGGCGGCGAGGTACCGAGGTGATCCGCGTGGAACGTACCTCCGCTGGGCCTCCCAGGAGCCCACGAAAGTGGCGACAATTGCGCAGATCACAAGCCTCCCAGGGGGCGGCGAGGTACCGAGGTGATCCGCGTGGGACGTACCTCCGCTGGGCCTCCCAGGAGCGGAGAGGAGGAGGAGGAGGAGGAGGAGGTGGAGACCACACTGCTCTGTTCAAAACGAGTACCCAACAGCACAGGCGGGTTGGGAATAAGCACGCGCTGTCGGAGCTCCACGGACTTCTTGGGCCTGCGCGGCCCCATGCCATGGGCGAGGCGGCGCTGGAGGCACCGCCCGGGGTGCAGGGTGGGGGTCCAGCGCCGACCCCAGAGTATGCGCGGCCCTCAGAGGGTTCGTGTTCGTGCCGTCTCGTGGCCCGCCACTCCTGCGAGACCATGCGCAGGGCGTCGTCGGGGCAGGTCTTTACGCAGACCTCGCAGCCCGTGCAGTCGCCGGCGGAGACCTGGATGCGGAAGTAGTGGCCAGCCTGCTCGGACGAGGTGGCCTTGCGCGCCTCCAGGGTGAGCGGGGCGGTGTCGTACGTGGTCTGGTCGATCAGGAAAGGGCGGATGACCTGGGAGGATCGGAGACTTGGTGATTGTGGAGCCCCTCGTCGTTCTCACACAGTTTTCTATCGAGTGAAACGCTCCTCCACCCTTCGTTGTCGAGTGATTTTCCATGTTTATGCTTCTTTCCAGCGTGATCCTCTTCTTTTATCATTCTCTTTCGTTCTTTCGTTCTCTTGTTATCTATCCCCCTCGAGGATCGAGGGTCGAGGCTTCTGGATGCCATTGTTGGCCCTCTAGGCTGGGAGCCTCTGGGAGGAGGCCTGCGAAGCCCTCTGGAGACACCCGTGGGCCTCCGGGTCAGGAAAGGCACGCACGAGCACGCACTTGCGGGCGGTCGTGGGCGTGCAGGGAGCTTTGGGCGTGCACGCTTCGAGCAGGAGATCAAGCGTAACCTTGATTTGCCTCAGATTTGATGTTGCTCGTCGACTCGCCGAAGGAATACGTAGCAGTCCACGAACGTTGTACTTCTTCCTTTCTAGACGCGACGAACAATCTATTTCGGGGTAAATCGATTCTGCAGATGATCCCCTACTCGAATGCTCCTCGCGACCGCATGCGGGCAGACGATGGAGCAGTAGTTGCACTGGGTGCACTTGTCCATGTCCACCTCGGGCACCTCCGCTGCCTGGGTCTTCTTCTCGACGTTGCTGAGGCTCATGGGGCTCACGCCGCCAGGCGGGAACGCGGACACCGGGATGTCATCGCCCTCGAGACGGGATCAGCTGGCACCGAATCGGGACATCCGGTCGGATCGGAGAGCGCATCGGATCAGGCCGCCTCGGCATAGAGTCAAGATCGAGTCGGATCGGCCGCGTCAGGATGCACAGCGGCGCCATATGAGCATCGGTGCGCGTCGGGTGATCGAAGCATCGGAAAATCACAGAATCGAGCCAGCCGGGATCAGTGTCGACTCGGACCGATCGGATCGGAATGGACCCTGCCTCGAGCATGACCATCGGCTTCTGGACCTGGGGGGAGGAGAAAGCGGCACGAAGATGAGCCTTCGCACCAGCGCGCGGCGTGCGCGAGGTGCGGCGCCGGAGGCGCTGCCAAGGGGGTCCGGCGCCGATCCAAGCACTCCGCGCGGAGCTCCGAGTGTGTATTTTTGTGCAGTTTCTCGGAACTGGACAATCCACCCCCGCCCCCACCGAGGACCCCGTTCCCGACGTGGTGATCCAGGGCGTCCCGGCTGTGGGGGTGGAGCTGAGCTCTTGGGCTCTCGGGATCGGGAATCCCCTGGGTCACCAGGTCGGGAGTGAGGGTCCCCTTCATTCGGGTGGTGATGGGTCGTCCTGTCCTAAGTTTTAGGCGGCGCGCCCGGAGGGGAAGTGACACGGGACGGGCCTTCTCAGAAGGCTCGGAAGTCCCCCGGCCTTCTGAGAAGCGTTCTGAGCCTTCCCGAAGACGGAAAACAAACTCTCCGAAGGCGCGAGGGCCTCTGAGAAGACAAGTCCCGCCACCCTCTGAGAAGGCCTCCTCCCCCTCGCTTCCCCCCCCCCTCGCTCGCCGCCGGAATGTGTCCTCGCCGAGGACCTGCATGTGGAAGGGGTCGTCGTAGCCCTCGTACTTCAGGGCCTCCGGCAGGGGCGCGGGCTCCAGGGCGAGCCACTCCTCCCGCGGGTACTCGATGGCCATCAGGCTGGACATGGCGTTCTCGACGGCGCTCAGGTTGCGCTGGATCACGGCGTCCCCGTGCTTCTTGTACGTCTTCTGGATGGCGTCCTCGGGGGGCCCCAGGTCTCCGACACCCTGCTCCGAGTTTCTGGCTGAGCGTCGGGGGGGGGGCGTCACCCCCGCCGACAGCCCCGCGGCGATCCCCGTCCTGGGCAGCCACCGCGCGCCAGAGGCGCTCCGACCCCCGTCGCGTCGCGAGGACAAGGCGAGGCTGACCCCCGTCGGGGAGGTACCCGCCCAGGCTTACAGAGAAACCCAGAGTATGTTCGAATCCAGGACCTGGCCTTCTGCCCCAGGGGGCCGCCAGAAAGGAATCCGGGGCGACAACTGGGCCCGGGAAGGGTTCGGGACCTCTGGAGCGGAACGAGCAATGACATACACACAAAAACCCGGAGGTCCGCGCGGATTTCTCGGATCGGCACTGGACCCGCGCCAGGGACGGCGCCCGAGGCGCTGCCAGGGGGGCTCCAGCGCGGATCCGAGAACTCCGCGCGGACCTCCGAACTTGTATGTCTACGCCATTGCCCGTTCCCCCACTCTGGGTGCCTCTTCTCAGCGGGCGAAGAGCGGTAACTACAACCTGCGAAATGCTTTAGAAATCATGGGTTCAGAAATTCATAATCTCAGAACTTGAACAGAAACCCAGAATTTCCATCGAAATCTTAGGATTTGCATTGAAACGTTAAGAATAATCGAGAATCTGGCCGAACTTCTATGTCTACGTCATTGCTCGTTCCGGGTGCATCCTCTCAGCGGGCGAAGAGCGGTGACTATTACAGAGACGTTTCCGCCATCGGGGAGGCCTGTGCTGGGACGGCTCGCCAAGTTCACGCCACCACCTGCCACCGCAGGGGCCCAGACCCTTGCCCTCCTGCAGGGGAGAGCGTGGGCGGGCCTCCCGAGAGGGCGGCGGGGCCTCTTGGAAGCCCTCCAAGCCTTCGGAGAGAGCCCCCCCCTGCGGCTGCGGAGGCGAGGCCGAGGCGAGGCGCCAGTCTGTTCAAGGGAACGTAAGACCTGGGCACAGGGGACTCGGAAATCCCCGACGAGGTCGTCAAAAAAATGACGAGGCCGAGCCCGTATTTTGACGAGGCCTCCCGCTGCAGACATCCCACGAAACTCCTCCTCGCCAAAATCCGAGGCGCGGTCGCCAAAAAACGATGGCGAACCCGAGTCCTGGGAAACCCGGGTCTCACGCTCCCCCGATCTGTGAACCCATTCGGGGGCGGCCCTGCGAGAGCCTGGCGGTGGCGCCAGAGCGCCGAAGAGAGAGGAGGAGGAGGAGGAGGAGGAGGAGGAGGAGGAGGAGGAGGAGGAGGAGGAGGAGGAGGAGAGACAGCTACACAGACGAGACCCCGCCGTCCGCTCCACCGGAGGCGCGCGGAGGTGGGAGCCCGCGGGCGTCGGGGGGAACTGGCCCGAGAGGGGGGGGGGGAGAGAAGCATCGGCGCTGCAGCGGCGGTACGTCGCCGATGCATCGGCGACGCGTCGCCGAGGGCTCGGCGATGGGCCCCCGATGGCGAATGCGCATGTTCCCGGGCGGGGCGGGCTCTCGGGCCCCTATGGGCGAGGAATGGCGCATGGGGGTCGGTGCAGTCCCCCCTGGAGCCTATCGCCCCTCCTCGTTCCCCCCAGGCCTACTCCAGATTTCGGAACAAAAGGGAGGGGGTCTGGACCCTCCGAGACAAGCCATTTCAGACCTCCCCCGTGGGAGAACCCTCCAAAGCATCGTCCCCAGACCCCCCAGGCCCTCCAAGATAGCCTGGAAGAGACCCCCCCCCCGAAATGAGACCCCCCTCCCTTTATGACGAAATCTGGAGTACTTCTCTGGCGCTTTTGGGTTCCCTCGAGTCCTGGAAGTAGCTCATGGCCTGGTCAACGGGCAGCACGTTGGAGAGGTTGAAGAACGCGGTCTGCATCACATTGTTCGTGAGCTTGCCGAGGCCGCTGTCCTTGGCGACGCGGCTGGCGTCGATGGTGTAGAACTTGACGTTCTTCTGGGCGATCGCCCTCCTCACGTGCACAGGCAGATTCGCGTTCAGCTCGTCGATGGACGACCAGGGGCAGTTGAGCACGAAAGTGCCCGTCTCTGGCTTGACGAAGCGGAGCATGTCGAGCGAGTTGATGTGGCCGGTGAAGGAGCACGCCAGGTAGTCCGCGGAGTCTGGCAGCGTCAGGTAGGGGGCCTCCATGCCCGTGGGCCCGAACCGCATGTGGGACACGGTGGGCGTGCCGGCCTTCACCGAAGAGTACGCGAAGTACGCCTGGGCCTTGAGGCTGCTGTTGTCACCGATGATCTTCACGGCGTTTTTGTTGGCGCCGACCGTGCCGTCGCCAGCCAGGCCGTAGAAGACGCACTGGGAGGTACCCTCGGGGACGCAGGAGTCCAGCTTGCCGCCCTCACAGACGGGGAGATTGGTGTAGGTCACGTCGTCCTCGATGCCCACGGTGAAGCGATCCTTCTGCACCCCGATGGCATTCTCGAAGATCGACTGCGCCATGGAGGGAGTGTACTCCTTGGAGCCGAGGCCGTAGCGGCCGCCCAGCAGCGTGACGCCGGCGAAGCGGGGGTCGGAGGCGAGCGTGGCCGAGACATCGAGGAACAGAGGCTCGCGGTACGACCCGTGCTCCTTCGTCCGGTCGAGCACGGTCACCGTCTTCACGCTGGAGGGGATCAGCTCCAGCAGCGCCTCCGCGGGCCAGGGCCGGAAGAGCAGCGGGCTGATGACCCCCACCTGGGCAGCGGTGAGGAGAGAGGGGGGGGCCTCACGCGCGAGGGCACGGCGGCCTCGCGCGGCCGCGTGCCTGGCGCAGGCTGCCGGGACGGCAGTTCCCGTGGGAAGGAGCGGCGCTCACGCGCGACCTGGCGCGGGCAGCTCGCGCGCGGCGGTGTGCGCGCAGCTGGGACCCTTCTCCTGAGCCGCGCACCTTGTGGCCCGCGGCGTTGAGCTTGGGCAGCACGGACTCCGTGACCCTCACGGCGCTGCCCATCTGGATGACCAGGTGCTCGGGCTCCGGGTCGCCCTGGTAGCGGACCAGGGACAGGGGGCGCCCCGTGAGCTGGCTGACCTTGTCCATGCACTCCTGGGGACTCGGAGTCGGAGGAGGGAGAGACGAGACGAGCGCTGGAATCGCGCGCGCTCGCTGGGGCGCCCGCCTGTGCCCATCAGGGCCCGGCGTGAGGGCCGCAGCCTCGGCAAAGGAGGCGTGAAGTTCACCAGCAGGCCGGCAGGCCGCTCACTGGGCGAAGTCGTGGATGGGGGGGAGGCACCCCCATCGAAGACACTGTAAACTTCATACGTCCGCGGGCCCAGATCTCTGTTGTTGTCACTTCCTGGCGGCGTAGACTTGGGTCGGGCATGTCTTCCTACAAACAGATTTTCGAAGAAAAATTCAGCACTGGTCAAAAACGTAGATTCAAAGATCATCACAAAAATGATCGAGTAATCCTCCCCAGACTATTTTTGATATTTTCGAACACTCCTCCTGTTGGGGGCCGACTTCAGCGCGGACCCCCCAGAGCACTGCCGAACACATCGCCGGCTTCCCTCGGAGGACGGGCGGCATCTCTCTCTCTCTCCGCCGGGGGCGCCGCCCAGCGGGCTTGCGGGGAAGTGGGGGCCGTGGTGCCATGACGGCTGGCACATCGGCTGCAGTTAGGGGAACAAAAAGTGGCATAATCGTAAAAACTCGGAGGTCCGCGCGGATTTTTCTCCGATCGGCGCTGGACCCCCCTCCCTGGCGCGCGGAGCGCGCCAGAGGCGGCGCCAGAGGCGCCGCCGGGGGGCCCCAGCGCGGATCCGAGAAATCCGCGCGGACCTCTGATTTTTATGTTTATGCAACTTTTTGTTCCCCTAGCAGCGCAAATGGCATGCGAAACGCACATGCACCTTCATAGTGGCTCGCCTGCTGAGCTCGCGCGGGAGGGTGGGAGGGGGAGGGGGGGGGGAGGACGCGGACGGTAAGCAGGCAAGCCCATACGAAAGAGATCGGCAGTGCTGCCGGACAGTGGCCCAGAGGGAGCCAAGAGCGCTCAAAAGCCTCACGCTGCATCTTCGGGGGGGGCCCTGTCTGTCTCGTCGCGCCGCTGTCCGAATCGAGTCCGTGTCGAATCTATGTCGACCGTCGAATCCGCGGGGTCGAATCCACGCCGACCTCCGCGTCGAGTCGACGTCGAATTCGCGTCGAATCCTTGTCGAACCCGCGCCAGATGCAAGAGAAGGCCGCACCTGACAGGACTGGCAAGGCCCCCCCGAATATGTAACGCCAAACCCAGAAAATTCTCCGCATCATCGATCCTCCCTGATCCTCGGTCCTGCTCGAGGAGGGAGAATAAGTTCGGGAACCCGCCAGCAATCCTGGACGATGCCTGGCAGCCGGTCGTAGTAGAGGTTCGCCCCCTCCAGCGCCTGTGGGGTCGTGCGAGAAGGAGGGGGAAGGGCGGGGGGTGAGTGCAAGAACTGCTGCATTGTGTCCGGTTTCGGCCCCTCCGCTGGGCGGTTCCCTCGAATCATGAGCGCCGCCAGAGCCAGGAAGCGCCCAGAGAACCAGCAGCGCGAGCTGAGCTGGTTCGCTAGCCTCCACGCTGCTCCCAGACCTCCGAGCTGACGTGAAGATGTTTCACTACGTGGACCCTAACGGATCTACACCCCTTCACCGAGACCAGATCTTCATCCCGAGTTGCTGTTCGAAGATACCACTGCCCACTGACAGCCCCTGGAGGCCGAAAACAGCATAAACAAACTCTTTTGGCTATCCCACAACTGAGATACTTCCCGGATCTTGCCCGTCGTCGGCGTCGCTGTCAGGCGATCGATTGATCGAGGTTCCTCGATCAAGATTCGAGTCCGACCGAGGATCGTCCATCGACGGATCGTCGATCAATCCATCGATCGGGGATTGGCCCGCCCGAGCCTGCATGTAGACGTCGGGGTTCTGGTTGCTGCCGCGCACGACGGGCGACAAGGGAGAGAGGCCGCGCGAGCGGTGCTGCCGCAGGTCCTCCCGGTACCAAAACTTCGGAGCGCTCCGTGCCCTATGTGAAGGATCTCGCCGAAAGCAGCGCTGAACTGCAAGAGCATAACTATTCGCAGTCCATACTACTCGCTGGAAAGAAATCCGCGCAGAGCGCCAAAAGTTCATGTTTTTTTGTGTTTCTTGCTTTTCGAGGGACGCCGATTCTTCGCTCGATCGTGCGAGGGTCCTCGGGGTCCATCAGCGAGCGCATGTCCTCCACGCTGAGCGCCTCGATGGTGTTGATCTCGTGCGAAGTGCGGAAGCCGTCCTCGGAGGGGCCCGAACGGCTGCGCCGCCAGGACCTCCCCGCACCCCCCCGCCGTCCGTCCGACCTCGACCCCGTGCAGGGGCGAGGGGCGAGGGGCGAGGCAGGGGGAGAAGAGAGAAGGGGAAGGAAGGGGGGGGAGCAGCGGGAGGAGCACCGCGGGGGCGGCAAGGGGCGCCACACTGAAAAGTGTGAGCAGGCGGGGAGGCGCGTCGCGGCCCCTCCTCTGGGGACGTCTTCGTTTTGGCCGAGGGCTCCTGAAGAAGCCCTCGGCCCTCCTCCACCTCCTCCTCCTCCTCCTCCTCCTCCTCCTCCTCCTCTTCCTCCTCCTCCTCCTCCTCCTCCTCCTCCTCCTCCGCCTCCTCCTCCTCCTCCTCCTGCGCCTCCGCCTCCGCCCCCGCCTCCGCCTCCGCCTCCGCCTCCTCCTTCTCCTCCTCCTCCTCCTCCTCCTCCTCCTCCTCCTCCTCCTCCTCCTCCTCCTCCTCCTCCTCTTCCTCCTCCTCCTCCTCCTCCTCCTCCTCCTCCTCCGCCTCCTCCGCCTGCTCCGCCTCCGCCTCCGCCTCCTCCGCCTCCTCCGCTCCTCCGCCCTCCGCCTCCGCTCCGCCTCCGCCTCCGCCTCCGCCTCCGGCCTCCCCTCCTCCTCCTCCTCCTCCTCCTCCTCCTCCTCCTCCTCCTCCTCCTCTCCTCCTCCTCCTCCTCCTCCTCTTCTTCCTCCTCCGCCTCACCTCCGCCTCCGCCTCCGCCTCCGCCTCCGCCTCCGCCTCCGCCTCCGCCTCCTCCTCCCTCCTCCTCCTCCTCCTCCTCCTCCTCCTCCTCCTCCTCCTCCTCCTCCTCCTCCTCCTCCTCCTCCTCCTCCTCTCCTCCTCCTCCTCCTCCTCCTCCTCCTCCTCCTCCTCCTCCTCCTCCTCCGCCTCCCGGGGGCGAGAAACCCACGCAGCCCCTGTGATGGAAGCTGTGCGGGTGCGAGGCGGCCCTGGGCGGCCCCGCAGACGCGCGGTGCTCACCTCAGGGGAGGGGGGGAGGGCGAGAGGGAGGGCGGAGGAGGGGGGGAGGAGGGGGGGGGAGGGAGGGCGAGAGGGAGGCAAGGGAGGGGGGGGAGAGGGGGGAGGGCCAGGGGGAGGGGAGGCGAGCGCCGTCGAGGCAGAGGTCCTCGAGGAGCTCGGCCCCCGAGAGCGGGCGGCCGACGAGAGGGGGAGCGCGAGAGGCGGAGCCTCCAGGGGGGGGGGGGCAGGGCCGAGAGGCGGGGCGTCCAGCCCAGCCGCACTGGCCCTGGGGGGAGGGGGGGGGGGGGGCGAGGCAAGACCCCCGGGAATGGGAGGAAGGAGGGGAGAGGGAGAGAGAGAGAGAGGATAACATAACAAAATAAAACAAGAGAAGGAGAGAGAGAGAGAGAGAAACAAAAAAAGGAGAGAGAGAGAGAGAGAGAGAGAAAAGAGATAACAAAGAGAGAGAGAGAGAGAGATGGAAACAAAACAATAAGAATAATAAAAAGAGGAAAGAGGCAGAGAGGTAGGGGAGAGGGGGGGAGGGGGGGGACATAGCACGCGTCCAAGATTGCGCCCTGCTTTTCCAGCGCCGCGGCCGGAGATCCTGATCGCGGGAGCCTCTGCACAGGGAGGGCCTGACGGCGGCAGAAACTGCCAGTGCGGCCCGACCCCACACCCCGCGGGTCGCAGGTCAGGAAGCGCAGCACGTCGAGCCCACACGCCTCAGACTGACATCGACAGGCGACATCAAGAGGCCCCCAGGCGGCCCCAGAGGGTCACCGACACATGTCCCACCAAAAAAAGAGCTTCGTGCCAACTTCTTGCAGTAGGAGCCTGGCGCCCAGGATAGGCTGGTACGTCCAGGCATACATGCCAGAGCAGTCGTTGATTCTCATTGCAAGCCCCCCCTTGCGCGCGGAAGGATCGCGGCGGGCCAAACCTGCCTCGCACCGCTAACGGATGGGCCAGCACGCCCAAAACCTGCCTGCACTGGGAGAGCCTGATGGCAGCACCGACCCCCCACCCCCAGGCGGACTTAATAAGGAAACAAACTCTATACACCGACGCTTTTTCCGGCCCTGCACTGACACTTGCACAGGAAAACGGATCCTGGTGTACACGGGATCCTGGTGTATATATCTTTCGTTGTTTCCCCTGGAAAACGGGGAACCAGGTTTACACCACACCACCCCGATGTCGTTCCCGACACTCGAAAAATCCTAGAACTGAAAAACAGCCCGCCACTGGTAATGTATATGCTCCGGTTTCCGACTTAAGGGGGATGAGTCGTGGAAAGGGCAACAGGAGAGAGAGGCGAGGAGGGGGGCGGGCCACGACCCGACGGGCAGCAGGGGGGGGAAGGCAGGCAGTTCAGTGGGGCAGCAGGGCGGGAAAAAAATGACTTCTGGAGCACCAGGACAAGACACAATGAAAAGAATACCCTGAATTTGGGGGGACTTCCTGCTTTGATGAGCACTAGTTAGAAAAGTGGTGAGCGGGGTCGACCCACAAGGTGACGCCGCAGCGGCAAGGGTGGACCTGTCACCCGAATGGGCGGGGTGCGTTGGTGGCAACTCCAAAGGTGGGGGGCCGGCGACCGACGCGCCAGCGCTTAGGAGAACCGACGTTGACAGGAAGTCGGCCGGCAAGGGAATAGATCGCGTTCAAAGCCTCGAGGAGGAAAACCGCGTGGGGGAAAAACCGCGAGGGAGGCAGCAGGGAGGTGGAGAAGGAGGGACCGTGGGGAGGAGGGGGGAGGGGAAGGAGGGAGGAGGACCCTCCCCCCTCCAGCCTTCCCCGGGAGGGAGCGGGAGGCTCGCAATGTACATGCAGCAAGCAGTGTCGGGGGGGGGTCACCACTGCGGGGGTCGCCAACTCCTGCAGGAAACGGGCACCACTCGACCCCCCCGGAGCCCCCAGGACGCCCGAAGACGACCCAAAACGTCGAATCCTCGATCCTCCCTCCTCCCCCATCCTCGAATTCCGGGAGGGACTGGTGCCCCCCTAGTGGTGACCAACCCACTGCGACACTGCCCGAATGTGCACGCTTGTGGCCTCAGAGGAAGGGTCCTGGAAGTGCACAATCGGCACCCGGCCCTTGAGCGTTGCGATGTGGGCCACCAGTGCGAGATCCTGGCAGTCCTTGGGCACAGGGGGGAGGCTTCGGGAGGCTTCGACCAGCGCTGCTCTCGATTCTTCTCTCTCTCCCTCTCTCGATCTCTCCCCCTCTCTCCCTCCTCCTCCTCCCCCTCCCTCCTCCCCCCCCCTCACCCCGCCCAGATAGCACAGCCACACTACACTAGGTCGCCAGTGTGGCCAGACAGCGTGCCCACCACCGAGCACATGCCAAGTCCGAGAGCGCGCGCGTCGCCCCGCGGGCCGCCGACGCACACGCAGCACCGGCACGCCCGGGTGGTGCCGACCGCGGGTCCGCCCGGGCGGGGTGGCCCGCCGAGGGCCCCTCGGCAAAAGAAGGACGGGGGCGCTCCCGCGGCGACGTGCGCGTCCCCGCTCCCCGCCCCGTCGGCGGAGGACCGGGCGCCCGTGCGGGCAGGGGGCGGCGCGCCCCACGCTGCCGCGGAGGGGCGCCGCTCTCGCGAGGCTCGTCGTCAGGGGGGGGGGGGGCGCCAGAACCGCCCTCGTCGTCTGCACGGCCCGGGGAGAGCGCGGTGGCCGCCCCCGGCGGGGCAGCTGGCTTGCGCAAAAAAAAGGTGGAGGGACGGTTGTCCTCGTCACGGGTCCAGGCGGCAGCCGCATTTGTCCTCGTCACGGGTCCAGGCGGCAGCCGCATGGAGGCCCCCATTGGCGGCACGAACACGCTCACGCCAGGGCCTGATGCGTTCCCCCTTTCCGTGGGTAGCCTGTTCGAGGCGCTCGGCGATGGGCGCGTCCAGGGCGGCGCTCGCCGCCTCTGACGACGGGAAGGTGCACGGGCCCCAGGTGCGGGGTGCGCGGAAGCGCTGCGTGCCGGCCAGAGCGTGGGATCGCGCACGGCCTCTTGGGCTGCAGCTCGCCCGCGGGAAGCGGGCGGTCACCTCCCACAGTTGGCGGTCTTGCCTCGCCAGGGCCACGAGGCGGCGGTTGGCGGTGCCGCGGTGGGGCCACTGTGCCTTGGAAGTGGTGAGCCCCTCCATGGAAACCGCGCAGAGTCGCGCGCCGGGGCTGGTGGGTCAGCGTACCCGGCCAGGGCCGCGCTGTTCTCGAAACGGTGCGGCGCGGTTCGCCATGGCGAACGTGGCCTCAGGGCCGTCCGAGGCACGCGGGCAAGGGAGAATGGGGGATCGTCGGCGCGGGGATGAGGGATAGGAGGACGAGGAATAGGAGGAACATGAGGAGTAGGAGGAGGAAGAGGAGGAAGAGGAGGAGAAGGGGGAGGAGGAGAAGGAGGAGGAGGAGAAGGACGAGGACGAGGACGAGGAGGAGGAGGAGGAGGAGGAGGAGGAGGAGGGCTGAACAACCTTGCAGCCGTCAGTGCCTCGGTCGTCTCCCGCCAGAGCCCGGGAGGCATCTTGGATGGCCAGTGGGTGCTTGAGGCCCCCTACCCTTTCCAGAGGGCCGCCCCCGCTCGCGCCACCCCGCTCGGTGCGCGCCGCCAGCCTCCCCTCCTGGGGCCTGCGTCCTCGGTCCACCGTCCTCCTCGATCCTCCGTCCTCCGCTTCCCCCTCCCCCTGCTCCTCCTCCCCTCCTCCCTGCTCCTCCTCCTCTCTCCTCCGTCCTCCTGCTTCCCCCTACTCCCCTTTTCCTGTTTCCTCCATCCTCCTCCTCCTCTCCTCCCCCTCCCCCTGCTCCTCCTCATCCTCCTCCTCTTCCTCCTCCTCCCTTCCTCCTCCTCCTCCTCTCCTCCTCCTCCTCCTCTCCATCCTCCTCCTCCTCCTCCTCGTCCTCCTCGTCCTCGTCCTCCTCGCCTCCTCCTCCTCCTCCTCTCCTCCTCCTCTCCTCCCCTCCTCCTCCTCCTCCTCCTCCTCCTCCTCCTCCTCCTCCTCCCCCTCCTCCCTCCTCCTCCTCCTCCCTCCTCCTCCTCCCCTCCTCTCCTCCTCCTCCTCCTCCTTCCTCCTCCTGCTCCTCCTCCGCTCCTCCTCCTCCTCCTCCGTCCTCCTCCTCCTCCCCTCCTCCTCCTCCACCTCCTCCTCCCTCCTCCTCCTCCTCCTCCTCCCCCTCCTCCTCCTCCTCCTCCTGCTCCTCAAGGATGGAAGGCGGGTGGTTTTCAAGATGTGGTTCTCGCCTTATCGCCTCGAACATTCGTCTTAAAAGCTGGCAACAGCTTCAAGAATTCGTATGGTCGAAGTCCCCGTAATGATTTTCTGGCACGATTTACGATTGTCAGGGCGCAACTATCACGATGATTCGCTGTGCTGACGTCCCAGGAACGGCATTCTGACACGATTGGGGATTGTCAGGAGGCATCAGTCACGTTGATCCGCGGCGTTGAAGTCCCAGGAACGCTGTACTGGCTCGATTGAGAATACTCAGACGGTTGTCTTCGAATAGGCCACTTCCACCAACGAAAATAAATCATTTCAGGGACCTACGAATAGGGAACTTGGAGGGAGGGTGTATTGCAACATCGTTGATGCGTCTTGGGGTAGCACTGGTCCTCCTCGTCCACCTCCCTCCTCGATCCTCGATGACAGACCGACCTCCTGAGCCCAATCCGCCCGAACAACCCTCGAGCCTCCGTCCTCTCAGTGGGTCCCGACGCAGTCGTGTCCTGCCTGGACCCCACGGGCGCCTGCCAAGACTCGCCTCTCTGCATGAGCCGTCTCTGACGGGCTCCAAAACCGGCAGGAAACCTCTGGAGGCCAAAAGGAATCCCCGGACCCCTCCAGGGCTCCATTCCCGGCAGCTTTCCAAGACGCGCCCGGCCGTGGCGACGAGAACATCCCGAAGCGTCCCAGAAACTTCGAGACGGCGACCACGCCAGCGTCTAATTATGGTGGCCCTCTCGCCTGCCCCAGCCCCACCCCTGCTGCGGTCCTGCACGCACTGGCCCGACAGCATGCCCCAGCCGGTGGCGCGCGCTGCCATCACGTCCTGGTGGTCTCCGAAGATGGACAGCGCCTCGCCCGCCAGGGCGCGCGCAGCCACGTGGATCACGCAGGGCATGAGCTCGCCTCCAAGGAGGGCGCGACCGAGACGTAAAAATCGGCCTCGGGAGTTTTGGGACCTGCTGTCGACGCTTCACGGTCTGGCCCCGTTGTGAGCCTCCCAAGGCTCTGGCGAGCTCGGGGGACCGCTCCAGGGAGACTACCTGGGGATCCCTCGGACCTCAGAGACCTACCTCTTAGGGTCCTCCGGGGACCACGATGACGACACCGTCGACAACCACGACGACGCCGCCGCTGACGGCGTCATCGATTTGAGGTTTGGGAGGCGCTTCGTTTCTGACAGCCCTCGTTCGCCACGGCTGGACTCGCCTCGGAAAGCGGATCGGGATGGACCCCGACAGGACTCTGGGGGCCAATTTGAATGGATTCTGTCAAACGGCGACAACGACGAGGATGTATCTCCTTCCCCTCCTACCCTTCATCTGACCTTCGGGGGCGGGGGATTCGTCGCCACGGCTGGACGCAGCTCGGATAATTGACATCCCGTATTGAAACACTGGGCGACTATAAACGGGACCGCTCAATACACAAAAA